GGTTATTTGATTCTCAGTGTAGGATTGTTCCCTCTGTGAAGATTGAGTTGCCCTTAATCTATACATCTAGATACTCCAGACCCTGCTATTATGATTCCAATCACCTCCCCCCGAACACACCCATTTTCTGAGCACTAGTGTGAAAATATGTTCACAGGTTGTCCCTACGCCACCCCCAATGAAAAACCCCACAGGTAAGCTCTGGCCCAAGTGCCTTCTCAACAACAGGGTACAAAGTTTGTGCCTTGATCTATTGGTTCTTGGCCTTGGAGCCAGAGAACCAAGCCTTTCCCTTTGGGGGGCAAGGTGGAGGGGTAGAGAAAAAACATTGCTACGGGGAACTCAGCAAAACGTGATTAGAGCCGCAGCAACAGAGAAGATGGTAGAGAATGACTCTCCAAAGATCTTTGTCCTGACAAAACCAGGAAAGGCCAATGCACTGTTCTTTCCAACGCTGTGATGTCAGCAAATAAATTATATCTGAAATTTCTTTCCAATTTGCTGAGCAGGTCCCTGGTCAATACGGAGACCGCCATGTGCCCACAGTGGTCTGATAACTTCTGAAGCATAAAGATGACATTTATAATAACAGGTTTAGGTTGAGTTCAGTACAAGTTCCTGCCAAGCGTATGCCTGGAAACTATGACATGAAATGGATTACCATTAAGAATATTGGTTTTAAATGTAAAATAGATAGCTGGTGGGAAGGATCTGCATAGCATAGGGAGATCAGCTCGGTGCTTTGTGTCCCCCTAGAGGGGTGAGATAGGGTGGGAGGGAGACGCAAGAGGGAAGGGATATGAGGATATATGTATACATATAGCTGATTCACTTTATTATACAGCAGAAACTAACACACCATTGTAAAGCAATTATACGCCAATAAAGATGTTAAAAAAAAAAAAGAATACTGGTTTTTCTTAGGGAACAAGTGGATGTGACATGACTGGGCATCAAATAAACCCAGATTTACCCAGCGGTATGTCATAAATATCAAAAACAAAATAATGGTAACCCTTTGAAATAGTAAAATTATGTTTCATATCCTGCCAAATGTGTATGACGCTGCTGCGTCTGTTGGTTAAACAAATGGTCCTAAAGTCCATATTAACTTAACAGTGAGAGATGTGAAGTCTCACGTTCACAATAGAAATGAATGCCACATACACAGTGGGGAATGCTTGGCTGGACAGAAGTTTATGTCAAAAAATAAGGGCCTGGGTTGATAAATGGCCACTTCAGTCAGGCACCAGGCTCCAGTAGGCCCTAGTGTGTTAGCTGTTCCATGGTCGTGTCTGTCTCCATAAATGAATCTTAATTCTGTCAAATAAAAAAAGCAAGTTGCAAAAGGACATGGACGGTATAATACCACTTGTGTACATTTTTCAGATTTGCAAAACAAATATAGTAAAAGCATAAAAACATGGATGGGAGAAATTTATATCAACCTCAGGGTTAAGGGATGGGAATAGGATGGAGGGCTCCAGTTGTACTGGAAACATTTTCTTTCATTTTTTAAATTAAAAAGCATGTAAGGTAAATACAGTAAAAAGCTAACATCTGTTCAATTTGAGTAGTGCGTTCATGGGTATGTGTTGTATTATGTTCTGTACTTTTACTGTGTGGTTGAAATGTTTCATACATAACTTTAAAAGAAAGTATTTTAAATACATAAACACGGTTAACTAAATTTTAAGTAGTTTTAGTTTCCTCCAAATTAATTTTTTTATGTATACAGTATTATGAAAGTAATATAGTCTATGAAATAAATTTCAGAAAATTAGAAAAAATAAATTACTCAGAATCTCATCATCCAAAAACAGTCATTGTTAATGTTTTGGTATATTTCCTTCTATTTTTGTTTTCTTTGTGTGGGTGTGTGTGTGTTTAAACATACTTCTAAGTATCTTGGGTATGCTTATTGAATTCTGTCTTTTTCACTCGTTATAGCATCACCCTTGTTCCATGTGAAGGCTTAGCCTCCATGAACATCATTTCTATTGATTCTTCAGATCTTTCACAGCTTTACTTTTCTTGCATAAAGACAGTTATGAACATTCAGCAGCCACACAGTCACCTTTCCTTTTGATTATCGTAAATATAATCCTTTCGAAAGCCTCCGGAACAGGATTGCATCACGCTCTGCTGTTGATTTGTACAAGGCTGTTTTGTGTGGAATGACAGTAAAAAGGTCTGTCACATCTGTGATATCACATTCCTGCGAAGACTGAGCTTGTCAGCATTCATCCCGTGGGTGGGAACTGTGCATATTTTAGAAGCCAGCTCTGTGTGCATCTTGCCTGGGAGGAAAGCAGCACTAGTGCATCCAGCATCTGGTCTGGGATCCCGAACCCGCAGCTGGGAAAGTGTTTACTGATCCCATTAAACTTTTGCTTTGAGGCCTGGGGTAACAGCAGCAATGATTTTTCCAGATATTTATATGCCCCTTCCCAGCTTATGGAGGTTCTCACAACCACTGCCACCTGAGCTGCTGTGGGCCCCCAGCGGTGAGTGCAGAGCAGAGCAGGCACACAGGATTACAACCAGCAACTGGGAAAGTCAGGACCTCTGCCGGATGCTTCTGACTCCATCCAGAACTTTTCAGTTACTATCCTTGGACCCAGGCAAGAGGAGTCTCTGCCATGGGCTCTGGACTACAGGCAGCTCCCCCACGTCTGCCCAGAGCCCACTGTCCCAATCCTGGACCACACTCTGGGGCCCTGGAATCCCCTGACAAAGGGCCTGAGCACTGCCAGGGCCTACATGAGCCTGAATCTGTCCTTCTGGGGGCCAGACCACCACTCTGTGCACGCCTAGCCCCAGGGTGGCATCTTGCAGGAGTGAGAAGAGCTTAGATCCAGGGGCTGCAGGACACATAACCGGAGTTGGAGAGTATGGGCTAGAGGCAGACGCAGAGGCTGAAGGCCAACATCCCCTAGAGTGTAGCTCAGAACTGCAAGCATTCTGAGAATTCTGAACTCAAGCCTGGCCTTCTGAGTCATTATGAACATTATCTGTTAGAGTAGGAGAACAGAGTATACGCTGTGTTAACAGTTTGTTAGGTAGACCTCCTTTTCTACTCTCAGAAGCCCACAGATGCTAAGAACGGTCTTGGCTCTCTTATTCCACTGTGCTGTCTCCATATTCCCTTTTTCTTCTATGCAAGTCTACAGACAGATGAGGGAGTGCAAAGGAAAACAATCTAGAACCACAGAAGTAAGACAATTTAGTGTGTAACATCCCAATATACCAGACACCCCCGTGTCCACACATAAAAGCAAGAAATGCATTTCAGGACAAAATAGAGTACAACCACCTGCTACGAGGGTGAATCATTCTGGCACAATCCAGCAAAATCAGAAATAGAAGCCAGCTAGTAAAGCTACAATCTGCTGCTCTTCCCCTTCTCTCCGTCTCCCACATCACAATTCCTGCGTGTGAGCCTCAGAACTAGCACCCTCTGTTGGTTGCTTTAAGCTATGCAAGAAGTCAGGCCCCTGCGTTTCCCAGGACAACAAGGGCACTAGTCTCACCCGCCCAGCCAGGGTCAGCGTGGAAAATCGGTGTTGCAAGAGCTTTCATTGTAATTGTTGCTTGGCCGCTGAACTAGTTTTTTTTTCAGTCCCTTATTCTCCAGCAATATTTCTGCTTCGTGATCAATAATTTAACTGAATAGAGAAGCATGAAATCATCAAGACAGTTTCATTGTGCTGTTTTCCTCCCATACAGAAAACAGAGATAAACAACTAAACTCTGAATAATGAAACACACATATTAGGACAAAACTTTACAAAGTGATGATTCTCTTGACTTTCACAGCTCTCCAGCAAGGAAGCTGGTCCCATGGTATAGGTAAAGACTCTGTAACAGAATATTTAAAAAATAAATAAATGAAAAATTTTAAAAGAGAAAAAACATACTTGACCTCTTGCATCACAGAGGTCAAGTAACCGGGCTGAGGTTACCCAACTGGGAGGTGGCATAGCAGGGACTTGAACTTGGAGCTGATTCCAGTCACTGTAGGGATCCAAATAAAAGAGTAGGTTTTGTCCAAATTTTAATTCATCAGGAAAAGAGAGTCACCTATATTAAAGCCCTCATAAAGTTTCACATATTATGGGACCTGTCTCAATTTTTATTTTAATAAAGTTTTTTTGGAGAACCACCCATTAGCCTGGAATAGCCTTTGGTCAATGCTAGTTTAGGAAGCTCATGGAGGTCACCTGACCAAACTGGTTTTTAAAAAAGTACGTGGGGGCAGACCTTTAATACAGATTTAGTAATTATTCCTGGGAGCATTGTTTGTGATTGCAAATGAGACCTTTTAAAGATTTCTTTTTAAGTGGTATCTCGTGGAGGTTGTGGATAGGATCATTATTTCACTGACAGATCGTACGGGGACCTAAAATGCTCTATCTCAAACAAGACAGATGGAAATGAAGTTAATGTTCTTGGAAAAACTGAAGACAAAGACCCTGATGTGAAGATGCCTATAAAAACTTTGAATAGAATTGTTTCATGAAATGTGGGCGAATAAAACAAAATAATATAGTCAAATTAACATTTTACTATGGCTTACGTATATACGTGTAACTAAAATAATATTACAAACAGACTTATATTACATTATGGTAGACATTTGATTGCATCATCTACCTATTCAAGTTGGTCAGAAATTGTCTGGGGGGAATCTTCCCATTTGGAAATGTAGGCGCTGGTAACACGCTAAGTCGTTTTTCCCAAGCACTGAGCTGCAACCCAAGATGAGGAAGAAGCGGGTTTGTGTGCTGGATCCACAGCAATGATGAAGATTACACCCTGGCTCCTGTGTTGACAGCTCCTTACATTTTCCCAAACACTGCTGCACTTGGGCCTCCCAGCCTCTTGTGTGGGAGAGTCTGTGGCTGTCCTGAAGGTCCACCTGAGGACCCAGTGTCCCCACGTCAGTGACTTGGGTGCGGGTAGAGATGTGACGCGATTGCTTTTCCCGTCTCCCTCAGGCAGCACTAGTTGGAGGTACCACCATGATCATCGGCCACGTCCTGCCTGACAAGGAGACCTCCCTTGTGGATGCCTACGAGAAGTGCCGGGGCCTGGCTGACCCCAAGGTCTGCTGTGACTACGCCCTCCATGTGGGGATCCCCTGGTGGGCACCCAAGGTAACAGCACTGGGTGGAACCCCAAAAGAAGAACCAGTGCTCTTTTTGGCAGAGGGGCCATCTGGTGAGAGCCAGCTGGGGGGGTGATGCTGTCCTGCGGTGTGGAACACCCCTCCCACCTCCATCCTAACTCCTCCAAATGCCAAAAGAAAAAACACTTATGATTCTATAAGGGGGGAGGCCTGTTTAGCTTAATTTAAAGAGCCAATTTCCCAGCGCTCTGACCACAAGGCGCTCAGCATGTCCTGACGCTCTACCTAAGGTGTCACTTATGTAGCAACCCCTAAGGGGTTGCTACTGAGTAGCAAGCTCAGTAAGGGTCAGCCCTGAGGGTCACATCATCTTGCGCTTGGAGTGACAGCCCTGAGGTCTCAGAACGGAGGGCCCCGTCCTGGCTCAGTGCCACCTGGTAAGAATGGATTGGGGTGCTTTTTCCCTGCTGGGCCCCAGCTCCTGCTCTGGGCACCCTGAGTTTGCTCCTGGTGTGTGGCTCCCACTGGACCCTTTCTCAGCTCAGCCTCTGTGCCCCTGGCTTTCCTGGCCTCCTGTTGCCCAGGCCCCAGGGCAATCGGAGGAGTCCCTGCTCCCCGATTCCCTCTTCCTCGTTCTTCCTGAATACAGATATACAGGCATTTAGATTTTGCTTCACTTCTGGAGTTTTACTGCTTCTTACCCCAGGGAAGCAACCTGGATATTCATTCTTTCATCAAGTGCTCATTAATCACCGTGTGCCACTCAGTACTTGAGTGGGTGCCCTGGAATCTTAACAATAAATAAGCATTAAGAGATTTTGCAAAGTTCTCCAGCTGTGGATCCTGATCTAAAGGGCCTGGCTCCATTCTGAGACAGTGACTTAAAAGCCTGGCTGTACTTCTGCCCTCAGGTACAAGCCTTGAGTGTGGGGCTTACACAGTCTCTTCCATTATATCCAAACTGGTGCTTATGAAAGGCCTTGGAACCCCCCAAACTCACACATGAAGATCCCCCTCCTGGTACCGGCTAAAAGGTACAGACCACACTGAATGTTAGCCATCCTTTATCTCAGATGGAAGTTTTGTCCACTTCGGACACCCTCCTGGATGGGCGACCCCTACCCTAAGCCTCTCTCCCTTCCCTCCTCCAGTGGCCTGGAATAGAGAGGGTCTGCTCAGATTCCCAGCAACACTGAGGCCAAGTCAGCTATCCCTAAGTCCCCAAAGGTTGTGAGGATTTTCATGCATCTAGAATTTTTAATTCTTTTTTATAATAACCAATTTTTTTTTCTAATTACAGATTTTAAAAATAGAAAAGAAAGGAAGCACATAATTCAGTCACCCCAACACAATCACTATTGTTATTTTAGCTTATTTCCTTCTGGTCTTTTTTCATAGTAACTCTTTCTCTTAAGTGTGAGCATTTTCCACCTGGCTGCATGGTCTTCATGACCATCGATGCCATGGCCACTTAATGTTCTGTCAAGTAGACGAATCACAATTTATTTTCCTACTGTTGGACCAATGTTTCTTCCATTTTTTCCTAGTATAAATAATGTTGGGATGAATCTCCTTATTCACATAGCTTTGCTTCATGTTTGGCTTTGTCCCTAAGTTAGATTTTCCCCAGGTCTCTGGATTTTTAGCATTAGTACGCCTTCTCTGTAACACCCCTTCTGTTATGGGGGCGGAGGGAACTGGCCACAGGTGTAAAAGTCATTACTGCATTTACCAATAAGGCTGATTTGGAGGCAGAAACACGGGACAAGCTTATGTGATAGGAGAAACATGCCCAGATCTCGTTTCTATATTTGTGTCACGCTGGACAATTTTCAAAACACTTCCGCATCCATTTGCTCACGTGACCTCACAGCAGCCTGTGGAGTGAGAGGAGAGTGAGATACTGCAAGGTTGCGGGTGGTCATGTGGCGACAGAGCCACCTCTCCTCCGCGCTGGGCCAGCGTCTGCCAGTCAGCCTCTTGGCCCTCTGTACTCACGTGGCATTGCCTTTGCATTCTGCTCTCCAGGTGAAAGCAGAAATGGAGACCCTGGTGAGGGAGAAGGGTGTCAACTCGTTCCAGATGTTCATGACCTACAAGGACTTGTATATGCTTCGGGACAGCGAACTGTACCAAGTGTTGCACACTTGCAAGGATATTGGGGCGATCGCCCGGGTCCATGCTGAAAATGGGGAGCTCGTGGCCGAGGCAAGGCAGTAGAGAATGTTGGGGGAAGTTGGGGGAGCACCGATAGAGACAGTTCTCTGGGGGATTCCTGACCACCCATGACCCTCCCTACAGGGTTCAGATAAAACAAATTATAAAAGAAAGTGTGAGATGTTAACAGCCCAGATGACAGACCTCTGTCCGAAAATCCAAACTTTTCTAGTGTCTGTAAAAAACAAATCTCTCTGTATAGTCCAAAAGGGTTTCTAAGTCTTGGATGATGATGTCTTCATTCAAATATGATACTTAAATTCCATTATCACAGAGGAATTTGGAGCACCTCTAAGAAATATTTTTAATGAGATGTGACGTACAGAATAAATAAGGGTCAACATTCCACTTTCCTGTACCTCCTCAGCGGACCTGAGGTATTATAGAGATCTTCTCACTGGTACCAAGACAGACAAGCCCCTTTGTACTACTGGGTCTTAAGTAGGATACTTGGGGTAAAGGTTAATCTAGGCATCTGTGGAAGCTGGAGATTTAACTAGATTTCCAGTGAGGAAATTCTGATTTGCAGATCAATAAACAGTGTTTGTCTTTAGTGTCCCAGGCCTGTTGGCTGGTGACTGAACTGTATTTTTAAGAGGAAAAGATATTTTCAATCATTATGAAGTGAGACTCAGGGGATCCCTGTCCTAACCCTGCCCTCGTTCTAAGATGGGTGTTACAGAAGTGAGAAAAGCAGCAAACCTATTGGAATGGGCTGTGCTGAAAATATTTTACTGTCCCTTGGGTTCAGTATTTTTTTGTATCTCTATGATTCTCTCAATTTTCTTTCTTTTGCTCTTATTCAGGGTGCAAAGGAGGCGCTAGATTTGGGTATCACAGGCCCAGAAGGAATTGAGATCAGCCGTCCAGAGGAGGTGAGGAAGATATCCGTGTTCTTTGTCATCATCTTTCCTATAGATTCACAGAACCTTTAGGATAGAAGAGTCATCGGTAAATACGAGTTGTATGGCATTGCTTTCTTCATGGGTGAAATTCCCATCTGGAAGCTTCCCAGGGAACAACTTCCTCCATGCTACAGCCGACCTGCCCTTCAGCTTCCTTGGGGAAGACAACTTTGGGGAAACAGACCCACCTCATTGGGGGCTGATTTCAAGGGTCTGAGGGAGGCCATGTGAACATGCCAGGGGTTGCTTTGGCCAAAATTGAATCGGGAGAGAAAAGACAGACTGAAAGGGCCTTTAGATGTTAGAAGAAATTCCAGACTATAAGCCAGTGAGTTGGCATTTTGGGGCTGAGATCCCTTTGAGCATCTGTGGAAAACTTTGGACCCTTCCCACTAGAAACGAGAGGCACATGCGTGTCTGTGCTCTTTCCCCCTTTTCCTATTCGTTGCTGAGATGGTGACTAAGCCCTGCTCTCCCTCTGCCCTCTGGTTTTATCCTTGCACAGTTTTGCAGGGTGTCGACACAAATGCCCCCAGGTCCCCCTTGCTGAAGAATTCGGCTCTGGAGGATCACGTTAGATAAATAATGTGTTCTTGCCCTATGACCCTGTTCGGACATGCCTTACCAGTGGTGAGGGGAGAGCTATTTTCCATTTCTTCAAAGCCTTAAATGCAGAGTGGTGGTTGGATGTCCATGAGGGACTGATGGGGAGGCCTTGGGGGACGAGGAGCTGGAGACAGGATGTGATGGTTCTGTCATCAGACAGGAACCAAGTCAGCCTATAGTGGGCCAACCTGGTGTGGGCGGGGGTCCCACCTTACTCCTGCCGTGGGTTTGTCTCTGTCTGCGAGAGCGCTTGAATATAGCTCCTGTTTGGGCACCTCAGAGCTGGTAGAGAAAGACACACCAGCTTCAACAAGGCACTCAGAGTGCCTGTGAGAAGAGGGGTGGCGGGATGCGCACAGGACTGGGCTTTGTGGAGCTCTATGAGGGGGAAGAGAGCGGTGCTGACCGTAGTGGCAGTAATAGCAAGAATACCACCTTCACCATCTACTGATTAAAGGGGAGCATCTAAGGATGTTTTGCTCCCCAGGGACATTTGGCAATGTCCAGAGATATTTTGGGTTATCCCAACCTGGGGGGAGGATGTTACTGGCATCTACTAGGTCGAGGTGAAGGATGCTGCCAAAGAGCCTGCAATGTCTGTTCAGCCGCTTCCACAAAGAATTATCTCACCCCAAATGCCACTGGTGCCGAGGTTCAGTAATCCCGATCTAGGCTAATTTTCAGCTTGAAATCAATCAGTATTAGTCCTTTGCTACAGTTCTGAGATGGCTGTGGAGAGAATGCACCAGAAACCAGGGAGAGGTGTGACTGCAGGTTTTCATTTGTTCTTGTTTTGTCGTCTTTTACTTAAGCCCTGAGTAGCATCCAGCAAAGACGTGCCTAGAACCCTAAGTCCCGGGGTTCTCTCAGTGTGAGCAGAGGTGGTTGGAGCTTGGTGCCCCTGCCCAGGGTTTCCCCCCGAGCCAGCCCCTGTGGGTGCTGTTTGTCACTCCAGCTCTGAGTCAGACATTCCAGCACTTTCTGCGTACGAGGTGGGGTGTCAGGGAGATGTAAGCTTGCTTGGGGAGATGGTGAAGCTTGTTTTCTTCCTGTCCTCTGTTTCTAACAGGTGGAGGCAGAAGCCACTCACCGAGTTATCACCATTGCAAACAGAGTAAGTAGACCCCAGCTCACCCTCAGCCCATTCTCAACTCTGGGGTCAGAACCCAGCCTGTACAGTAGAGTCCCATTCTGCTCTGGGTGCCAGCCCCATGCCTGGCTCCCAGGACCGCCAATGAACACCGTTTGCTGAATGAACAACACCGTTGCTATTCCCACAGACCAGGCAGGAGTCCTCCCTGCCACCGGCTCTCCGTTCTACCCTGCTGATCTTGCTGAGACCTGGTTCATTGCTCAAATGGAAATGCCTCCCAGCAGAGGCAGGGCAAGGTGGGGACCACAGAGCCTCATGGCAGCTGGAATCTGTTCCTTGTAGAGGAGCAGAGGGACGTTTGCTTAGAGAATCATGATTCGAACCTCTGCCTCTGGGCCATTCATGATTTTTCCTTGGTATGGTTCAGGGTAAGGGGGCACTGATGCAGTGTGGTGGTGGGAATGAGCACACACCTTGGGGCCTTGACCAAAGACAAGCTTCCAGTCCCACGCAAGTCAATCAACCACTCCGAGAGACTATTTTATTATCTAAAATTGGAATGATAATATCGCCCACTCCTCACAGGACGGTTGTGAGGATCAAAGGAGTCGTGGAAGGAAAAGCACTTTAAAAACAGGAGAACACTGTACCAAGATCCTTTCTCCTCCTAAACCATCATTAAGTGTTCTATTTGCTCAGATAATCTGAACTCTAGTTTTCTAAGTGTGGTCTCTGGACCAGCTGCATCAACATCATTTGTTAGAAATAGGAACTCAGAAATGCAAATGCTCAGGCCTGTTCAGACCCACTGAATCAGAAACTGGGGGTGACGCCCAGCAACCTGTGTTTTAACAAGCCCGCTAATGATCCTAATGGGCGCTAACACTTAAGAACTTCTCCTCCAGAAAGACCTAGGCTACCCTGAAGGCTGTGAGCTGAGGATGTGGTGTTAGGAATGCCAGGGGAACACAGAGGTTGGAGGTCCAGTTGGTCTCAGAATTAGTCAGGAAACTTGTGCCAAGCACATCAAATGTCAGGCCAGCCGCTAAATTCTCTATCCTCCTAATCTGACAGGCAAAGAAGGCATTAGCATAACATTTGGGAAAACAGTTTCCCATTAGCCCTTTATAAGTCCAGGAGCTGGACAAGGACATGGTTTTACTGTCGTAACAATAGTTACACTATCAATTACTTCCTGATGGAAACTTACCCCAGAATTAGGAAAGATCTGAATAACAGAAGGGCAGCTCCTCGTTTTCTTAGTTCAAATACATGCCCAGAGAAGTGAAGCCGTGGACCGTGGTCACACAGCTTGATAGAGGAAAAGCTAATCAGTATTATAATCCAGGTGTCCATTTGCAAGACCGGTCCTGTCTGGTGTAGACTGTGAGCCCTGAACCTCTTGTGTATTGTTTCTTCTCCAGGGTACATTCCGTCTACTGATATGGCAGATGGCAGACATCATCATTTTAGATATGGGATATAATACACAACTGTCTCTAGGTCATCACGTTCATGAATAGGAAATGAAGAGTCCCTCATTTCAAGTTGTAAATAGTCTAGGTGTTGGCTGGTAGAAAATGTGAGGTTCAGCACTTGGCATCTTGCCCTGATGTCCCCCTGCTGGGCTCTGGTGCTGGGCGCTGCCTGTGTCCCCTCCTTGTTTCGTGGGGTTCCCCAGCCTGCAGCCACCAGCCCTGCATTCCCAGCAGAAGACCGCCACCCTGAGGGGAGTGCTAAGCGATGCAGGGGGCAGCGCTGGGGCCAGGACTGGGCTGGTCCGGTCACCTTGGTCCTTGTTAGGTTATGGGGTTGATGCTCTCTCCTTCCCACCGTGTTTCCCGTCCTTAGACTCACTGTCCCATCTACCTGGTCAACGTGTCCAGCATCTCGGCCGGTGACGTTATTGCAGCTGCTAAGATGCAAGGTGAGTCCGTAGGCTGGGCTGAGCAGCGCCCGTGTGTGGTGGGGCCCAGCAGCTCCATGCACTTCCCAGCCCGGCTCCTGGGGCCAGGCCCTGAGCCTGCCTTTCCCTTTTCTCTCTGGCTGTCTTCCTCACAAGCACCCTGCACTGGCCTGGGTTCAGTGCATTGGCACCAGTGTTTTCGCCTGCACACTTGTTTGCATAACAGCTTTACGGAAGTGTCCGTCACCTCTCCTGGGTCTGGTAAAGTTTTCCAAGTTTTCAATCAGCTCATTAACTGGTATTTTTTTCAGTCTCTTGGGTTTTGCTAGTGGTTGCGTTGGTAACCAACATGAAATCCTGGACCAGTTCCAACGGACATTTCAGGGGGGAAATGCCTGGGAAGTCCCTGGAGAAACGACACTGGGAGGGCCCAGCGTCCCTTTCAGGAACCCAGTGTACCAGCCCCAGGGCACCTGTGTGTCGGAGCACCTGGCAGCACCTGAAGGCTTTGTACGTGCTTGTACTCCCAGTCCGGCTCGGGGTGCCAGTGAGGGCCCAGTAACAGGAGAAACAGGTCACGGTCACAAACCTGAGGATATAAATTGGGAGCAAGGGCCTTCAGCCTTCCCACCACATTGCCCTCCAAATCCTGACTCTTGCTTCTTCAGCGGGACCCCCTTCGCCGTCTCTCCTGTGCTGTTGTTCCAGCCTCCCACCTCCGTCTCCCTGCCCTCTATCCCCTGCTACGGTGCCACCCCCAGTTTTCTCCTGAAGCTGCTTCCAGCAGCCGTCTGCTCGGAAAACAGACGAATGCTGCCCCGCCTCGGCGCCCTCGCCCTTCTGTTCTTGCCTGCAGTCAGCACGGGGACAGAGAACAGTCTGACCTTGCCCTCAGATGCCCAGCTGAGCTCGGGCAAGTCCCTTCCTCTCTGACTTCAGCTCCTTCACCTGCCCCGTGAGAGGCTCAGACCAATGATCTCCCAGGTTGACTGGCCTCCTGGTGACGGTTTGAACCCTCTCCTTTCAGGGAAGGTCGTGCTGGCCGAGACCACCGCCGCGCACGCCACACTGACGGGCTTGCACTACTACCACCAGGACTGGTCCCATGCAGCCGCCTATGTCACGGTGCCTCCCCTAAGACTGGACACCAACACCTCAACCTACCTCATGAGCCTGCTGGCCAAGTAAGGTGTTTCAGCAGGACCACGGCGCGGCATTATCTCACAATGTGCGCCATTCCGGGAATTTGTAGATCTTTAAGGTGATATCGTAGAGGCCCCAAACCTGACCTAAGTTTGATTTCGTTGTGTCCAGAGGATGATTTTTGCTTTTGTTAGCTTCTCCATGCAGCTCCTATCACCACTTGATTTGGATGAGAGCTTCTGAGGTGACGAGTAAAGAGCGTATATAAAACTGTGAAAAGTGGTTATTCAGAATTTCAAAGGATATTGACACCTTACACTGGAGACCACTGGGGAACTCTAGGATGTGGCCTCTGACTTACCCTAGAAAATCTGTGCATCTTTCTATCTCTCGTCTTTCTTCACCTCTCCCTCTTCTCATTGTGTCCCACGTGGTTTTCTCTCGTTGTATGTACCTCCCTCCTTCCATGTGTTTCTCCCTCCTTTCTTTCCTCTTCCCCTTTTCCTTCTGCACCTTCTCCCTCTTTCCCCGTAACATCTTCCTCCAGACCTCCCTTTCCCCAGCTCTTCTTTTTCTAACACTGCTTTTCCCCATTCCACCCAGGTCTAAATAAAATGCTTTAATGAATCGTCTGAATTTGTTGGGACACAATCATGGAAAGATTTTGTTTCGTTTTGCTTCAAATTCTTTCTTGCCTCTAGTGACATTTTGATACTGGTAAAGGCCATTGCTTTTTCTTCTCTTTTGCTTATTGAAGTCCAGTTCAGTTTAAAAGTCAGTCTCTTCCCCTCCCACCCCCCAGCTCAGAGAATTAATAGGGGTTAGGATTAAAGGGGTGGGGAATTCCATTCCATACCCAACACGATCTGTACTCCTGCACTAATCGTTGCTGCTTCTCTGGCTAAAAGTGACTGGCCTTTGGGGCCCTCCTTGTATGGGGCATGTGCCCAGATACAGGCTCTCTTGAGTCACCCTCACGCAATCCTCTGACACAGGAGATGGAGTGCAGCTTGACCTCTCCTTCCCGTACCTTCCCGGCTTCCAGAACTAGCAATTCCCTGTGAACAAGAATCTGGCCAAGCAGCTTAAGCCTGGCCGCCTTCTACAGTATCTGGGGCCCAGAGCAAGCTCACACAGCTTTGCCACTCCCTACGGTGGGAGGGCAGGCTGGCCCCCACCCCTGGCTCTCCTCACCCAGAGGCTCAGGCAGGTGACCGCTGCTGTCACCTCTGTTCTCCACAGGTGAACCTCTTGAAATGTCCCCTCTTGAGACTACTTGGGGGAGAGGAAAGCACCATTCAACCCATGAAAAGAGGAAGAAGGGAGAGACTGCAGGACTCACCATTCTGCCAACACCTCAGTCGCCCTCCCTGTCTTCTGCTTTTACAAGACCTAGGGGTGGTGATACACCTCTGTTAGGGTGATGGTGGGGGGGTGTTGATGTAAGTGACCAGCCCCAGTTGGAGGTGGCTGTCGTTAGATAATGGGGCTTTTATTTCATCCATGTCCTTAGTTTTCAGTCCTGGTTGGCTAACAACTGGAAAATTTCCACTCCACATCCTGCTACGTTAACAACCGAAAGAGCAGTGTGGGGCTTTCCAAATACAACTGGAGTGCAGGCAGTAGGGTCCCGGGGTGAAGGTGGCCCCTGGAGGGGCAGGATATGCTGTGGCACAGTGGCAGTAATTAAAGTCTGTCCCATAGTTTTGCTGTGATTCTGAGCAGTGGCAGCTCTGACAGATTTAACCAATTTGAGAGAGTAAAGGGAGAAATGCTAGATCAGCTCTTTCTTTTAAAAATGCTTGTTGTTGGGAAAAAACCCGCCTCCTTTTCATCATTATCAACACAGCAAAAACAAACAAGTATCAAGAACCCACTATAAGAATTTGGGCTCAGTTCCAAGATCAAAGAATCTTTTGAAATACCTCTGCTTGCCACAAGCAAATTTACTGAAAGAACAAAAAGGTAGTAAAACTCCCAACCCACCCAAATTACAGTGCCCAAAGCCACACAAATTTAAATAGGCAGGGGAAGAAAAGTATTATTTATCGAATAGTTCAAGTTTTTATATCTAGCCTATTTTGTCAAATTTATTTAAATTATTATTTATTTATTTTATTTTTTTTTTTGCGGTACGCAGGCCTCTCACTGTTGCGGCCTCTCCCGTTGCGGAGCACAGGCTCCGGACGCACAGACTCAGCAGCCATGGCTCACGGGCCCAGCCGCTCCGCGGCATGTGGGATCTTCCCAGACCGGGCACGAGCCTGTGTCCCCTGCATCGGCAGGCGGACTCTCAACCACTGCGCCACCAGGGAAGCCCTATTTAAATTATTTAACTAACTTCTATTCATTTAAATAGAATTATAATTTCATGTGAACTATTATGAGAATAGTTTGAATCCCATTTTTTAATATTTATTTATTTGGTTGCATTGGGTCTTAGTTGCAGCAGGCGGGCTCCTTCGTTGCAGCTCATGGGCTCCTTAGTTGCGACTCGCTGGCTCCTTAGTTATAGCACACGAACCCTTAGTTACGGCCTGTGGGATCTAGTTCCCAGATCAGGGATCGAACCCAGGCCCCCTGCATTGGAAGCTCAGAGTCTTAATCACTGTGCCACCAGGGAAGTCCCCAAATCCCTTTTTTAATCAGTGCATATTGTAAACGTGTGCAGTTTTATAGAATTTGGAGCATAGTTTTTACATTTTTAGGAATTTATGATTACTATAATTTTGCTTCTATGACGTTGTTGGTGATAATTGGTATTATGCAAAATACTTGATAGAAAACCCAGACACCAATTATCATATTTCTATAAGAAAATATGAGCTGTTTCATAATGATCTACTTTAGGATGTGGTTTCTTCGAATATACCAGGGTAATAAGTACAATCTATAGATATAAGGATTTGTCCTTTATTTAAAATCTGACTTCTCAAAGGGATCAGAAATTTTTTCATTTGAACATATATATTTTTAAAGTACTTAACAAAAGGCAGTGGTGTTTTAAACTTTAAAGAGTAAGGATGGGTCTGTCATACCTCTCAGATTCAGGGCAGCATCAGGGGACCCCAAAAGCCCTTCTGTAATGTGCCCCCCCATTCACTCTTGCCTAGTAAGCACTTATTTGTGTAGGGGCCTTTTTAGAAAAGTGGGTGCTCAGTAAGACTTGTCAGTTAAAGCATGGGGTCCTGGGGTCCCAGACCCTCAACCCAGGACTCTGATGGGCATCTTCTGATCTGAGCCCTACCCGGGTGTCTGGAGGATCCCTGAGGAGCAAGTGAAAACCTAAAGATTCTGTTTATCTCTGGTGGGTTCTGCAGGTCTGGGGGATGTGGGGATCCCCAGGAGACCCTAGAATAAACCCTCTGCTCTGTGGAAGAGCCCCTCCCGCAGTCTCTGAGAGGGCCCAGAACAGCGCCTTTGGCGCAGGGAGCTACCAGCCCATGCCACAGAGTGGCATGCTATGTGCACTCTCACTGATGTAAGTCTCTGCCCCGAGTTCTGAGCTGGCCCGGAACCCCTCGAGAGCCTGGCCGTGCCTTACCCACCGTAGCCTCAGCAACCATTTGAGGACCATGTTCACAGATGGCAGCGGCGATGAACCACTGGCACGTCGTTGCTGGTTGATCAAGGCAGACTTCTCTTCCGTCTTGTCCTTCCTCTTCCCTGCAGGGCCAGGAGAGCCCTCACATCCAAGCAAAGCCTAACAGGGAACTCGAGTGTTTTACCAAGCACATGCTTATTGCCAGCAGGGCCTGGTGCAGGTTGAGGAGGGAGATGAGAGGGAGTCGGCATATGGTTCTATGGAAGTAAAACTACCTCCACCCTCTCACTTTAGTTAAACTCTTTTTTTTAAATTTATTTATTTATTTTTGGCTGCGTTGGGTCTTCATTGCTGTGCGCGGGCTTTCTCTAGTTGGCAGCGAGCGGGAGCTACTCTTCGTTGCAGTGTGCGGGCTTCATTGTGGTGGCTACTCTTGTGGAGCACGGGCTCTAGGCGCGCAGTTTTCAGTAACTGTGGCACACAGGCTCAGTAGCTGTGGCACGCGGGCTCAGTAGTTGTGGTGCACAGGCTTAGTTGCCCCACGGCATGTGGGATCTTCCCAGACCAGGGCTTGAACCCATGTCCCCTACATTGGCAGGTGGATTCTTAACCACTGTGCCACCAGGGAAGCCCTTAGTTAAACTCTTAAGTTCAATTTTTCTCCACCCGTTAGTTCTCTTAACATCCAAAGACTCTCAGTGTCTCCCGTGACGCTGGCATTCTGTGCCACAGTTGGCACATACACTCATTCTGCAGATGTGTAAACTGAGGCTCTCACAGATAACTCGCTAGAGGCCATACAGCTATGAAGTGGCAGAGCTGAGATCGAAACCAGCTTTGCCGGGTTTCCAAGTGAAGGTTTTTTCTCTGTCCCTGTCCCCACCCTCTGGGACCCTGGCCTCCCCTCCCCTTACTGGTCATGTCCTTCTCTCTACCCAGTGATACTCTGAACATTGTGGCGTCAGATCACCGGCCTTTCACCACGAAGCAGAAAGCTATGGGCAAGGAGGACTTCACCAAGATCCCACACGGCGTGAGCGGCGTACAGGACCGCATGAGCGTCATCTGGGAGAGAGGAGTGGTATGTTCCCACGACCCCTCCCCACTCTGGGCCTCAGAAGAATTTTCACCCTTAGGAGGGCTGGGTCAACCACAGCTCCTGTTTCACTCAAAAGGAAAACAGAAAAGGTATTTTTTTTTCCTGATCGGAAAGGTAATAATGCCTAGCGTAAAAATTTGGAAAATACGGCAAAGTATTAGGAAAAAACCCCATAATTCCATACTGGGAAATTATTAATATTTTGGTATATTTCTTTCCAGCTCTATGCATGTACTATACATTATTTTAATTACTGGGTTCATCTTCTTTTCATATAACAGTGTATTTTGAGTGTCTTCCTGTATCAGTAAAAATTCTTTAAAAACATATTTTTAATGGCTAAATAATATTCCCTCCAACGGCAGTGCCATACTTCAATGAATCCTTCCACGATGTTTGGAACTTTCAGCTGTTTCAAATTTTTGCTCTTAGAAATAATGCTGCAGAGAATCTCTTTGTTCATGAGCGTACATCAGCATTTCTAATTATTTCCTGAGGACAGATTCCTAGAAGCGGATTTCTGGGCCAAGGGATATGAACCTTTTTAAAGATCTTGATATCTTTTGTCCAATAATAAAGATAGAGGCTGGGACTTCATTTGAATACCTCCTGTTCTGCCCATGAAGAATAAGTAGTTTTGATCTTGACCTATCACAGATTAGATGCAGCATAGAGTATGAGGCCAAAGAGATTTGAAATCCTCAAGCCTAAACAACCAGCTCGGGGAAGACCCATAAGGCAGCTCCAGAATCCCCTTTGAAAAGAGTCCACGGTGCCTTCATGGGTGGGACGATAAGATGCCTTTCCAGGAGAGAATATATGTCCCTTCGTGGATGCAGGGAAGCTCCTGATTTATCCAGAGTGAGTACCGAGTAGACCTGGTTTTACAAACAGGAGGTAGATTTGCACCAGGAAAGCAACCTTTTGGAACAAGGGCCCACCCGCCCCCATTGCTGCAAGAAGGAGAGAGGAGTAGCATGGAACCAAGCCTAGCAAGTTGGCTCATCTGAGATGATGCCCGTGGCGTTGTCCTTCTCAGCACCATTGTTCTGAGCAACTAAAAGTCCTCAGGCCAGGGTCAAGCGTGACCCAGGATTTGAGGCACACACACAGGGCCTCAGTTGACCTAACACTTTTGCAATGTTTCAGGTTGGAGGAAAAATGGATGAGAACCGTTTTGTGGCTGTTACCAGTTCCAATGCAGCGAAGATTCTCAACCTGTATCCCCGCAAGGGCCGCATCATCCCTGGAGCCGATGCCGACGTGGTGGTGTGGGACCCAGAAGCTACAAAGTAAAACCTGCTGCTAGTCTCCAGGGCTAGAGGGACTTGGGATTTTAAGGGCCTTATATTACAGAGCTCCAAAAGCATATCATCTTTGCACTACTTATAGCATAGAGCAAGATGACCCTAAGGTGTGCTCAATTCAACAAATACTTGAGGGCTTGCCATGGTCCAAGCACTAGGAATGCAACAGTGAACAAGAAGGTCTGAAGATCTGCTATAGTGCAGCTCCATGTGCACGGCACTTTACAGTTTTTCAGAGCTAGGTCACATCAACTATCTCGTTTGCTTTTCACATAGCCCCAAGAAGCACTTAAGCCTAAAGTTCTTATTTCCATTTTACTGTTGAAGAAACTAAGAGCAGAGAGTAGAGGGACTCCCCACATGACATAGCTAATAATTGGCTGAACCAGATAGATGTCCTGACACTCAGTTCCGGACTCTTACACCAACACTCTGCTTCTCCCGTTGAGGGTGTGTGTCCCCTTGAGCACACAGCGCTTGACACCCATGGTGTTAATGAACACAAGTTGAGTGGGTAAATGAAGTGAATCAGGAGTTATCAAGCCACAGGATAACTCACCTGTTATGAGCATCATCTTTTTTTTTAGTTAATTTATTTAATTTATTTTGTTTTGGCTGCGTTGAGTCTTCATTGCTGCACGGAGGCTTTCTCTAGTTCTGGCGAGCAGGGGCTACTCTTCCTTGCAGTGCACTGGCTTCTCACTGCGGTGGCTTATCTTGTTGCAGAGCATGGGCTCTAGGTGCACAGGCTTCGGTAGTTGTGGCACGCTGGCTCAGTTGTTGTGGCTCGCGGGCTCTAGAGAGCAGCCTCAGTAGTTGTGGTGCACGGGCTTAGCTGCTCCGCGACATGTGGGATCTTCCCGGATCGGGGTTCGAACCCCTGTCCCCTGCACTGGCAGGCGGATTCCCAACCACTGCGCCACCAGGGAAGCCCCAGGGCATCATCTTTACTCAGAGATTTGAGCAGGGTAATGGGAATTGTTTTTTAATGTTAAATTTCATTCAGTCACTCAACAAATAGAAAAGTGCCACCATTTGCTGAGCACTTTTCTAGGTGCACAAGCTAGCAGCGAACAAGATAGACAAAAATGTGCAGGGATTTTGAAGATAAAAAGTTGAATTGCAAAGAAACGCACCTCCCTGCTGGGATCCCCACACTGCTTCTCCATTAGGGCACTTGAGAAGCCGGGTTCTGCATCCAGCCTGGGGCTGGTCCCTGCTGCTGCTGCAGGTGTGGCTGTTAGGGATTGCTATTGGCAGAAAGACCCCTAGAGTACAGCCCAGTGTATTAGTCCGCTAGGGCTGCCATAACAAAATACCACAGATGGGAGGCTTAAACGGTAGAAGTTTATTTTCTCACAGTTCTGGAGACTAGAAGTCCAAGATCAAGGGGTCAGCAGAGTTGATTTCATTCTGAGGCCTCTCTCCTTGGTTTGTAGATGGCCATCTTCTCCCTCTGTCTTCACATGGCACTTCCTCTGTGCGTGCGCTTCTGGTGTCTCAATTTCCTCTTCTTATCAGGACACCCATTTGATTGGATTAGGGTCCACCTATATGACCTCATTTCACTTTAATTGGTTCTTTAAAGGCCCTATCTCCAAATACAGTCACATTCTGAGGTACTGGGGGCTAGGACTTCAACATATAAATTTGTGGGGCACACAGTCCATCCTAGCCTTTGGGGGTCATCCCTTCCTACTGAGCATTATCCCTTCCCACTGAGCAGCATCCCTTCCCACTGAACATTATCCCTTCCCACTGAGCATCATGCTTCGATTTTATTATCTAAAATTGGAATGATAATATCGCCCACTCCTCACAGGACGGTTGTGAGGATCAAAGGAGTCGTGGAAGGAAAAGCACTTTAAAAACAGGAGAACACTGTACCAAGATCCTTTCTCCTCCTAAACCATCATTAAGTGTTCTATTTGCTCAGATAATCTGAACTCTAGTTTTCTAAGTGTGGTCTCTGGACCAGCTGCATCAACATCATTTGTTAGAAATAGGAACTCAGAAATGCAAATGCTCAGGCCTGTTCAGACCCACTGAATCAGAAACTGGGGGTGACGCCCAGCAACCTGTGTTTTAACAAGCCCGCTAATGATCCTAATGGGCGCTAACACTTAAGAACTTCTCCTCCAGAAAGACCTAGGCTACCCTGAAGGCTGTGAGCTGAGGATGTGGTGTTAGGAATGCCAGGGGAACACAGAGGTTGGAGGTCCAGTTGGTCTCAGAATTAGTCAGGAAACTTGTGCCAAGCACATCAAATGTCAGGCCAGCCGCTAAATTCTCTATCCTCCTAATCTGACAGGCAAAGAAGGCATTAGCATAACATTTGGGAAAACAGTTTCCCATTAGCCCTTTATAAGTCCAGGAGCTGGACAAGGACATGGTTTTACTGTCGTAACAATAGTTACACTATCAATTACTTCCTGATGGAAACTTACCCCAGAATTAGGAAAGATCTGAATAACAGAAGGGCAGCTCCTCGTTTTCTTAGTTCAAATACATGCCCAGAGAAGTGAAGCCGTGGACCGTGGTCACACAGCTTGATAGAGGAAAAGCTAATCAGTATTATAATCCAGGTGTCCATTTGCAAGACCGGTCCTGTCTGGTGTAGACTGTGAGCCCTGAACCTCTTGTGTATTGTTTCTTCTCCAGGGTACATTCCGTCTACTGATATGGCAGATGGCAGACATCATCATTTTAGATATGGGATATAATACACAACTGTCTCTAGGTCATCACGTTCATGAATAGGAAATGAAGAGTCCCTCATTTCAAGTTGTAAATAGTCTAGGTGTTGGCTGGTAGAAAATGTGAGGTTCAGCACTTGGCATCTTGCCCTGATGTCCCCCTGCTGGGCTCTGGTGCTGGGCGCTGCCTGTGTCCCCTCCTTGTTTCGTGGGGTTCCCCAGCCTGCAGCCACCAGCCCTGCATTCCCAGCAGAAGACCGCCACCCTGAGGGGAGTGCTAAGCGATGCAGGGGGCAGCGCTGGGGCCAGGACTGGGCTGGTCCGGTCACCTTGGTCCTTGTTAGGTTATGGGGTTGATGCTCTCTCCTTCCCACCGTGTTTCCCGTCCTTAGACTCACTGTCCCATCTACCTGGTCAACGTGTCCAGCATCTCGGCCGGTGACGTTATTGCAGCTGCTAAGATGCAAGGTGAGTCCGTAGGCTGGGCTGAGCAGCGCCCGTGTGTGGTGGGGCCCAGCAGCTCCATGCACTTCCCAGCCCGGCTCCTGGGGCCAGGCCCTGAGCCTGCCTTTCCCTTTTCTCTCTGGCTGTCTTCCTCACAAGCACCCTGCACTGGCCTGGGTTCAGTGCATTGGCACCAGTGTTTTCGCCTGCACACTTGTTTGCATAACAGCTTTACGGAAGTGTCCGTCACCTCTCCTGGGTCTGGTAAAGTTTTCCAAGTTTTCAATCAGCTCATTAACTGGTATTTTTTTCAGTCTCTTGGGTTTTGCTAGTGGTTGCGTTGGTAACCAACATGAAATCCTGGACCAGTTCCAACGGACATTTCAGGGGGGAAATGCCTGGGAAGTCCCTGGAGAAACGACACTGGGAGGGCCCAGCGTCCCTTTCAGGAACCCAGTGTACCAGCCCCAGGGCACCTGTGTGTCGGAGCACCTGGCAGCACCTGAAGGCTTTGTACGTGCTTGTACTCCCAGTCCGGCTCGGGGTGCCAGTGAGGGCCCAGTAACAGGAGAAACAGGTCACGGTCACAAACCTGAGGATATAAATTGGGAGCAAGGGCCTTCAGCCTTCCCACCACATTGCCCTCCAAATCCTGACTCTTGCTTCTTCAGCGGGACCCCCTTCGCCGTCTCTCCTGTGCTGTTGTTCCAGCCTCCCACCTCCGTCTCCCTGCCCTCTATCCCCTGCTACGGTGCCACCCCCAGTTTTCTCCTGAAGCTGCTTCCAGCAGCCGTCTGCTCGGAAAACAGACGAATGCTGCCCCGCCTCGGCGCCCTCGCCCTTCTGTTCTTGCCTGCAGTCAGCACGGGGACAGAGAACAGTCTGACCTTGCCCTCAGATGCCCAGCTGAGCTCGGGCAAGTCCCTTCCTCTCTGACTTCAGCTCCTTCACCTGCCCCGTGAGAGGCTCAGACCAATGATCTCCCAGGTTGACTGGCCTCCTGGTGACGGTTTGAACCCTCTCCTTTCAGGGAAGGTCGTGCTGGCCGAGACCACCGCCGCGCACGCCACACTGACGGGCTTGCACTACTACCACCAGGACTGGTCCCATGCAGCCGCCTATGTCACGGTGCCTCCCCTAAGACTGGACACCAACACCTCAACCTACCTCATGAGCCTGCTGGCCAAGTAAGGTGTTTCAGCAGGACCACGGCGCGGCATTATCTCACAATGTGCGCCATTCCGGGAATTTGTAGATCTTTAAGGTGATATCGTAGAGGCCCCAAACCTGACCTAAGTTTGATTTCGTTGTGTCCAGAGGATGATTTTTGCTTTTGTTAGCTTCTCCATGCAGCTCCTATCACCACTTGATTTGGATGAGAGCTTCTGAGGTGACGAGTAAAGAGCGTATATAAAACTGTGAAAAGTGGTTATTCAGAATTTCAAAGGATATTGACACCTTACACTGGAGACCACTGGGGAACTCTAGGATGTGGCCTCTGACTTACCCTAGAAAATCTGTGCATCTTTCTATCTCTCGTCTTTCTTCACCTCTCCCTCTTCTCATTGTGTCCCACGTGGTTTTCTCTCGTTGTATGTACCTCCCTCCTTCCATGTGTTTCTCCCTCCTTTCTTTCCTCTTCCCCTTTTCCTTCTGCACCTTCTCCCTCTTTCCCCGTAACATCTTCCTCCAGACCTCCCTTTCCCCAGCTCTTCTTTTTCTAACACTGCTTTTCCCCATTCCACCCAGGTCTAAATAAAATGCTTTAATGAATCGTCTGAATTTGTTGGGACACAATCATGGAAAGATTTTGTTTCGTTTTGCTTCAAATTCTTTCTTGCCTCT